ATCCGAAGCGCTTACTATTTCGGTGTCGATGCCATAATTTTGTCCACCCGAAATAGCGCCCCGATATCTGCTGTCGCTGTAAAGGCTTCTGCAGGTGCCGCGGAGAACATCCCAATCCTGACAACCACCAACCCAACACTCTTTTTGAAAAACACACACATGAACGGCTGGAAATTTTTCGCAGCTGAAGCGCCTGCCGCGGCTATTGCGTCCCAACAATCCCTCAGCACATCAGCAGAACAAATTCTCAGTCGACGAGATGTAAAAAGCAAACTCAACGAAGCCCCTTGCATTCTGATGCTTGGCAGCGAAGATCAGGGCCTGCAGAAAAGCGTTCGACAACAAGCAGATGGCGTTGTGGTTATACCAGGAGCTATAACCTCCACAGGCGAGGAAGATCGAGCGGGGGTCGATAGCTTGAATGTGAGCGTTGAAAAAAACGTTGTTATGCGAGGCCTTTCTTGGGGACCCATCATCTACTGGTCCGGGCTTGTCGTCGTCTGAGGAGGGAATGATGTCTACTGTCGACCTGATCCGTGAGGAGGCGAAGGAGGACCCAAATAAGATGTTTTGATTCTTTCTTTGGGGTATCGTTTCAGCGAAATTTTTTGGCTTTTCTCCATGGCGCATTAAGTTCTCCCAGCTTTTGCATTTTTCAGAGGATGACATGTATTATATAGGATAGATCCGTTTGTTTTTTCTCTTTCCTTCTTCTTTTTTTTTTTTTTTTTTTTTTTTTCCATAAAATTTGGCGCTATCACCCAATGATGCCTGAAAGAGAATCTTACGGTATATTAGTTTGTTTTCTCCTAACTGGCCTCCGATTTTTTCAACATCGGCTTCAAGATTTCGAACTAGGGAAACATGAAAATGAACGTGATAATTTCAAGTCCAGTATCATCCGAACAAAATAAGAAAGTCGCAAAACAATTTTCCTCCATCCTTAAAAATTTATCAAATTAGCTGCTCATGTACGAATATTTCATTACTGACAATGCGGCAGGGAGTTGAAAAAATATGAGTTGAAGAAAAAAGATATCAGGTTTAGAGCAATTATTTATAAAATAGCCCATCAAATATTTTCCATCAAAAGAAATAAGAGAATGGATACCATAGTTTCCCAAAAATCAAAAGAAAGACAGAAATATTCCGTGCATCCATCCGTGCTACCCATTCAAACACACCCCACCACGTCTTGTTAAAAAGGGCCAACGAAACCTAGCTTTTTAAATCGGGCAAAAGAAGTCAAGAAGGAAAGCAACAAAGAGTATAATTAAATAATAATCAATCAAACACGAGCCCTTTTTGAACGAAAACATAATAAATATCCAACACGAAGCAAGAGCG